GGGGTTGGATGATTGACAGCTTTGTTTGACGACCTGATATTGTAGCTTCTCCTCGGGTCGCTACTGCACAGAATCTGGTTGTAAAAGGTGTTACAGAAGCAAGATGGCCGCTCATTATTTGATCACAGTTCATGATGATATGACAGATGTGTTGGCAACAAGTGTTTCTGGCTTCAAGTGGCCAAAAAAATCTAATAATGCAGCTTTAAGAAAGATGATAGAGGTGACAGAATAAAGCATGTGTGTTCATGAAATTATTAAGTGTTTGTTGACCTCATTTTATTTTGAAAAGTGTTTAATTTGTTTCTGCTTTCCAACAGGATGCCTTGGAAGAGTACAAGAAGATAAAGGACATTAAAAAGGTGAGTGGGGCAGCTGAACGGATCTGTGGTGACGTCAGCAGGGCAGTGCCGTTACAGGACAGCGCTGACATCTTAAAGAGCTATTATCACAATACTACTACTGATTCCATCTTACTTTTTATTGACCAACCTCTGGTCGCCCCTACAGTCTGCAGACTACCAGATGAAGAAGCGCAGGTGTAAATATCTGAAGTCCAAACTGAACCACCTGAAGAAGATGGTGAGCGATTTCGACCGCAGGGCCTGAACACTTCTGAGGAGCACGCTCCTGTCTGAGGTGGGACAGAAGGGACTAAACCAGGTCTGGCACTGCTGGGGGGGCAGAGCTCCGCTGGTGTGTGTCCATCACACGCCTCCACAGTCTACCTGAGCTGGTGAACACTAAACCTTTAGTTTGTACTTTAGAAACAGCCCAGTTACTTTTTCTCTTTTCTGTTAATGCCATTGTTTGTATTATGAGTGTCGCCTGCTATCGATACCGCTGTGTGTATTTATTATGCCTGATGTGATCTGCCTGCAGCGGAGCTCGGTTACTGCAGTGAAGACATTGATTCATAACTCCTGTTCGTTTTTAAGAGCTCTCACTGAAATGACCAAACATGAGATGCTTCTTTTTTACTGTCTTTTAATTCTTGTTTTCATCAATATAAACATGTACATATGTGGGAAATACTTGTTGTAAATTTGTCACTTGTGTGTGACTTTCAGATTCTGTTTCCTGATGAATGGCAGAACATGTACTTTAAAGTGATTAGGCATGTTTAATGCATAGCGCTGTACTTTTACATTGATTAGTGATACATTTTTATTAGAATGAAATCATTTATTAAACCTTTTCTAGTGCTTCTTACACAGTGAATGTGTGTTTTTGTGCGATCCCACGACACTGACTACAGTCCTAGTGACATACAGTTGGGACTCAAATGGGAAGTAAACCCCTTTTTGGTTTAAAACCACCTTTTGTGGAGCCAGTGATCACAGCGTTTTCCTGGAGGTGCAGATCTTTGAGGGTTGTGGTTGTCGGTTCTACACACGGTGACGTTGGAGCTGCACTAGACACTGTTTATGTTAAAGGTGCCCTGTGGGTTTTTGAGCACTAGTAGAGGCATACCCACGATGCAGGACGGGCTCACAGTCTCCCACTGATCAACAGGTGGCAGCAGTGCACCATAAGATGCAACCAACAACACTGCCACCAAAGGCAGTGACGAAGAAGAAGGAGGCTGGCAGACACATGAAAAGGAACTGCTGCCAGAAAAAAAAAGAAGGTCTTTATACTGTGAGTTCTGCTGTGTCTTCAGGGCACGTTTAACACTGGACTACATGACTGTAATGTGAGACATACAGCTCGTGGTCGTTCCAACAGAGAACTTTAACCTGCAGGTAAGTGTGATGCCTTAACAAGGTGATGTGGAGAGGCCTGGCTGCTGGGTTCAGTGTGAATACTGGTGCCAGTCTTGTTCATTTGCTCTGTGTCTGTATCTGGTCATAATATGTCATATGTTGTCAGGGACTACGAGACAGTGGGTCCTTGGGCACAGAAGTAAAACCCCCCTCACCTCTTACAAGACAGAGTAAACAACCACATGGTGTGTAGTCAGTTTGTGTCTCTCTCTAGTCTTGTCTGTTTTTAGCCATTGTGTGTTACATTGGTCTGTATCTCTGTTCATATGTGTCTGTCATTCTGCATATATCTACAGTTGTTTTGCTGTATTTCATGTCTTTGTAGTGGCTTTGTATCTCCTTGTAGTTTGTTGTACATCTATTTTTTTCCTCGTTTCGGGGCCTTTAGATTGACGTTCCAGTGGAAATGTCACCAGTCCCGTCGAGGTTCTCTGGTCTAAGTGCCCCTGACCCCTTGGGATAATTGACCGGTTCAATAATCCATCTGTGTGTTTTGTGCTTTTAGCTGCTTTTACTGCCCCCAAAGTAAGTGCACATTTAAAGCTATTCCAGTCAATATTTTACATTGACTATGGTTGTAGCTGTGCAGCGCTTTGGCCTCTTTCAGCTCATTGTTGAGGCTTCAAATAGCACAACTCTGTTAAAAGCCTGAAACCTACTGCTTGTTACCTAGTCAGCACTAAACAGCAGACGGGCACAGTTAGCAACTGGCTGGTGAACACAGTGCAGCGTGTAGCAGCTGAAGAGCAAGTTAATTTTCTCAGACCAAAACAGAGCAGAGAGGAGAGCGAGTGTTTCAAGTGACCACAAACACGATTCCGGCTAATGTTGCTCCGAGTCTGTTGCACTGTTTGCTAACACGTTCATCATAGCAACTTTTATAATATGTCAGATGTGGCCAACAAGACTTACTGCAGCTTTAAGGAAGCGTTTTTGTAAAAGCTGCACACTGAAGCTACGTGCACAGTGACAACACACAGCAAAGTTGGGATTTTCTGTTTTTCTTATGCGTTATATCCTCTTTGGTTTCCCTGCTTGGGTTTCACTAAACACACACTACATCACATAACGACACATTTCACATTGAATCACACTGATGAACTTTTCTTCCAGCTGAATTTCAGGCTGTGCTTTTGAACTGTTCCGTCTGCATCGAGTGCCTCCTCAGCAGCATCCTCCTGGTCTGCTCCTTGGGATGCCCAGGAGGAGCAGAGGGAAGGAAAGGTTTTAGGCCACACTCCTGCTCACACAATCCTCCTGCAGTGCTGCAGCCTAAGCTGTAAAGGACAGGACTGTTGGTGGAGTTGAGGGTCAGAGGTGGCAGAGATCTTGGCCTGGCCTGGGAGTGGTGGTCCAACAGGAAGGCTCCAGACCCTCTGCGCTCGTACCCAGACAGCACTCTCCTGCCAGGGCCTGAGGTCAACAGTGACTCCCTGGAGCAACGTAAGGGGGCGAGCCTCTTGCCGTCTGTTGGATCTCTGGCTCTTTGAGGGGACTCCTCAGGTGGGTTTTGGATGTCTACAGTGAGCTGGGGGTCAGAGCTGTAGATGTCTGAGCCCAGCTTGCACCTCTGGGTGATGCTCTGAAGGCTTGATGAGGCCATGTTCTGAAATGGCGTGCCAAGGTTTTTGCCATTAGAAAGGGAGGAGGAGGAGGAGGAGGTGACTGAGTCTGCTCCAAGGTTGTCAGAGTGGAGGTTAGGGTGGGAGGCAGAGTGGGATGATGTAAGACCCGGCAAGGACACCTTTTGTCCAACATGTTTGGCACAGTCATTGTGCCTGTCTCCTTTATCCCTTGCCGATGTTCCTTCATGCCATTTGAAACAGTTGGTTGTTGAGTTTGTGCTCTTGTCCCTGTTCAGTTTGGGAACTCTGAAAGCCAGGTCCTCAGTTTGGTAGATGGCTTGCTCGTGTTCTGACGATGCCTTTGCATGAGGCAGCTGGGTGAGTAGAGAAGCTGGTATCTTTATCCAGGGCTCAGAGTTTAGCCTCAGGAGGGGCTGCTGCAGTTTGTTGGGCACCACTTCGTCCAGCCCTCGAAACCGTGATGGAGAACATGGGTGGGAGTTTACACCACAGGCCTGGGCTTCTTTAAAGGAGAACACGGTCTTTGGAGGACACAAGGAAGAGGAGGTGCACTGGGGGAAGGTGATGAGCTGAATATCGGAGGGAGACGCAGGAGCTGCTGATGTCAGTGTGTTGGTCTGATCTGGAGGACCCAGGGGAGGCATGCTGAGGTACTGCTTGGCTTGGAGTTTCCCACCTGGGAACTTCTCAGTTGTTATGATGATCACTTCCTTCCCCTTGGCCTTGCATGTGTCAAGCAACAGCTTCAGGACCTTCCAGTCTCCAGCCATGACTGCGTAGACCAACGCTGACGTCCCGGACAGGTCCTCCAGACTAATGTCCGATCCACTGGCCAGGAGCAGAGACACCACGTCAGGGCCGGCCTGCTCGCGGCATGCATGCATCAACGCTGAGCAGCCCTCCTTGTCCTGGATGTTGGGGTCTGCTCCTTTCTCTAGGAGAAACTGGACTAGCTTTACCCGGCTGGCACTTTGAGCATCGATATGCTGGGTCCTGCAGGCCACCATCAGGGGTGTCTGGCCATGGCTGTCGCTCTCATTGATGTAAGCGCCTCCCTCCAGCAGCAGCCGCGTGAGTCGCAGCCGGCGCAGGAAAACTGCCCTTAGCAAGGGGTTACCCGAATCCATCGCTACCCCAGAATTACAGCCTTCTGCCTCCATCACTCTGGTTCCAGGTGGTGGCTTTGGTGATGTAGCAGCACAGGGGACTGTGGATAAAAACAAAACACTTAGAGATGTATGTGGCAAACCACCTATTTCCATAAACAAGCCACTGATGGCCCTGGTTTTTCTTTCTCCCACCTTCTTCCCATGTTTACATTACAGTTGCTAATCCCTGTAAGGCTTTGTTACTTTGACATTTGGAGGTTTGACTTGTTCACTGTCTTACTGGGAGTTTGATGGAGGGTCTATTGGTGTTCAGTGGGCACACTGGTCTGGGGTGTGGGGTATGTAGTGGCCTTTACCAAAAGAATAGAAACACGACTCCAGGTAGTTCCAAAGTTGTTATATTTAAGTGCTAATGTTGTGTGTTGCTGCAGCTTCTCCTTTATTTTACAGTTGGAAATCATGTAACTGAGGTTCTGAGGTGCGTGAGGCTCGGCTGCTGGGGGGTCAGGGAATCCGTCTGAACTAGGTTTCACTGCTTAATAAACTGCACCGTCGTGTTTTCTGTTTCTGCATCTGTTAAATACAAAACAATGTGATGTCTGTGAGGAGGCCTTGGAGCGTTTAAAGGAGGAGCTGATCATTGAATATTATATTTCATATTTATTGTTGTACTCATTTCTTTCTTTTATAAATGCACAAATTTGCCTTATACACACCTGTGCACATTCGAAACCGCTCTCCTGAACCACAAACACATGCACCACACCCATGCAACTCTCATCTTGCACTTATCAGTTTCTTTCTGAGTCTTGATTAATGTAAAGCTTCTCTCTGTCGGGTGTCTGTGTAGCCCCCTGTGACACTGTCCTGCTTCACTGATTTAAAACAAATGATTTGAGTCATGAAACAAATGGATGGAGGGTTGGAAAAGCAAAACACTTTAAAGATGTTGTCCCTTTTCTTGCAGATAGAATCTGTTCAGCGGTTTCTGTTGATGCGTCTGTCCTCTGCAGCCCCAGCCACTGTCTATCAGCCTTTGTGCCGTTTGTCCTTGGGTCTCGCTATTAGAGCAGATAAGGTGGCAGTTATGTGTCTCTGGCAGTCGCACACCATGAAACTGTAACATGGTGAATGTGATGCTGTGTGCAATGTGTGCATCATTCAGTTTGAATTTCAGGCAGTATGCAAAACAGCAACAGTCCCTTGGTGTGTGTTTGTGTGGGGCCTACAGGTGTCTGCTGCAGGCTTCTCTTTCTCATACGAAGATTTAAGGATTCTGGGAAGGTTGCTACTGTCATCGTCACTGTGAGGAAAACAAACGCCAAGCAGGTAGAAAACTGTGACGATAACCAATTTCATCCACTTTTTGCTATGTCAGCTCCAGGTGAGCCTACCTGTACAACACTGTGTGTTTAAATGTAACATATACTGTGTCGGTTCAGGTGTGTGTCTGTGGAGTGTTGCCCAGTTTAGTGACACAGGCTTGGATGTACAGTAGCAGACATGTTTCCTGCCTTGTGCTGCCGTCAGCAGCCGCGTCATCGCTGAACACAGCTGAATGCTTTCTGCTGGCAGCCACACGCTGGAGACACACCATCTGCAGCATGTTTGACAGATGAGGTGGAGGTGGTGAGCCTTCAGTCATGCTGTTCCTTTCTTTGTTCTGTGCTTTTTCATCAGCGCTGAACTGGCCAGTCATTGTCTCATTACATTAAATCCACAGCTCCACACGCTCTGTACTGTCACCTGTTACTGCATCATAGTGAACTCTAGGCTGAGCCACTCTACTCTGTCTTAATAGCTGTTTTTCTGTGGATGGCCTGTCGGCCAGAATAACATTTTGTACAGACGTGCATTGTGCCCAGCAGGTCCCATGTTTCACCTTTCCATCAAAATGTGTTATCATTTAAAAGATCTGTCATCACATGAGGTGCAGACATTCACCTGCCCTGACGATTTTCAGACGGACATTAGATTTAGCACAGACATTCCCGTTCCCCTCAGGATGAACCGCAATAAATTCAGTGATCTCATATTTCTTCTACCACCATCATTTGATCAGTGTTTTCTAATTAGCAAATGTTAGCATGCTAACATGCTAAACTAAGATGCTGACCACAGTAAACATGCAGATGTTAGCATTAGCTCAAATCAAAGCTAAATCCAGCCTCACAGAGCTGCCAGCATTGCTCTGACACTTGTTTTGTCTTAACACACTAATCCTACTTCCTGAAGACGTGTAAACTTTTTAACCAGAAGTGGGAACAGTATGTATGTGTAAACTTCACTCTTTTCTCAGTCGTACTAAACGCACAAGTGCATTTTATTAAAGCACCAAACAGATGTTTTTTTTAACCAGAAGTGGGAACAGTATGTAGCAGTGCCACTGTTTACTAATACTCGATCACAAGTAAAAGAAACAGTTTACTGTAAGTGTTAAAAAGTACACGGTCAGATATGTGTGTTGTGTATTACATTATTGGATCATGATCATCAATCATGTGTTAACATGTAAACAGTGTTTTACTGTTGCAGTTGGTTGAGGTGAAGCTGAGTTGTTTTGTCGTTGTGTGTCAGTGCATCATATTTAATGTGCTCATAGGGGTTTAGGTACATGGCACAGTAAGTGACAGTGAGTATCGTTAGTTTACTCTGGTGTGGCACAGTGAGTATCGTTAGTTTACTCTGGTGTTTAGCTTCACTTGCACTGATGTTTCTTTGGACATCATGTTGGGAAACAACATCAGGCTCCAATGCACACGCGACACTGCGAATCGGCTCTAGATCTTTCTCACAGTAGCATTTTTGTGCAAAATGAAGACAAAAACGAAACCACGCCTCCTGAAGAATCATTAGACGGGACAAACATCCAGCCCTGTTTGTGTTAGGTTCCTCATAGGCTGAGGTGCAGCATGTGTAAGACGAGCTACAAAGCCAGTGTTGAAAATCTGCACCTGTTCCTTGCACCATGTCACTGCCTGGTTCCCTCCAAACCATCCTAACACTTACAAACTGTGCACGTACAAGTACATTGCAGTGTTTTGTTGCCAGTCACAGCTCTACAAAACTCAGCTGACTTGAAAAAGCTCAGCTTAACACTCATCCTCCAGAAGGGCCCACCAACAACATGGTGTGTGTGGCTGTGTGTGCACATGTTCATTGCCAGTGTGTGTCTGTGGTGCACATGTCAGGGCTGTGTGACACACTTGAAAGACAACATGATTTAACCAGAAAAGATAAAACACTGTCATGTGACATGTTAAAAACAAGTGTTTTGTTTTTCAGCTGCCACAGAGGCTAACACATCACTGGCTGAGTTCTAACTGATTCTCCCAGGAAGCCACCGAACGGCAACGTTAGGCTGCAAACTTTGTGTAGAACTGATCGTTTTTCTGCTGTAAGTCTGTATCACTTACCAGCCTCCAGTCAGGATTAGTCCTCACTTGCAGACATTTACTCCCCAGTTGCAGATTGGCGACCGACGTCCTCTCTGACCAGGCAGCGCTGACTTGATGTGTGTGTGTCTGTGTGTGTAAGAGAGCAACTCAGTGGAGGACAGGAGCTGCAGCAGTGAAGGGCTTTGAGATTGTGACTGCTCCTCAGACAAAGTGTGTGCTGAGAGAGTGATGCAGGCTTGTTGTCAGGCACATCTTAGAAATGGTTAATCCATCACTGCAGCAGCGCTCGAGAGTTTCAGAGAGGGAGACAGGACAGGTGACAGAGATGAATGCAAAAGACGAAGCACTATAGCAACCCGGCATGTCTGGTTTGTCTTGCCTATTAATTGTGAAACCAACTTACAGCATGTTCTTTGATTTCATTCAGGAAAGGTTGTTTATCAATGACATCTCCATGACAACCATCAAGGAGGCCAAATGACGGCATATGCTGCAATTGTGCTGGAGGAGCTGTTCTTTGTGGCTGTGTGGGAGTGTGCACACCTGTGTGAGAATATGAGCCTGCGCGTGTACTTTTCATGTACTAGACACATCTTGTAGAAAGTATGAGAACGGGAGGATGCTTGTTTAAGTGAACCAGTTATTGTGGTGCAACTATCAAAACGAAAAGTGCAGGGGCCAAAGGAGGAATGAGGAGAGAGAATCACTAGAGCCATGTTTGTGGCTCTTAACACAGCAAACATGTAAGAAGGACTAAATGCAAGAGTGCATTTTCATAGCTGTTAATTGTCAATGGGGTGCAACAAGGTTTTCATCACTTTGGTGTAGCCATAGCAACAGCTGACTTCACAGTGCAGTTCATGTCTCGACCACAAGATGTCAGCATCAAACCCTGATAGCTGAGAGCTGTAACATACAGTACATCAGCATCAGATAAGGTCGGGGGGGGGAATGAGGGTGCATCTAGTGAACTTTGCACTACTGAATGTGTATTCTTATCTAGTGTATAGTGTTTTCTGGGATCTGAATTTGTGTTTGCTTCCCTGTTGTGCACGTGTCCAGGAGCTGTGGATGAAAAGTAGCTTTTAGATGAAGGTTTTCGTACATGAGCCCTGGATTAACGTCGTAGTAGTCATAGAGTTTCTTCTCTGACAGATGTACAGATGTACTTTTGGACAGATATGAATTCCTTTTTGACACAAACACTTGGGTCTGCTAGAAACTTTTTCTTCTTCATTTTACTTTGACCACAACCTGATAGAAAGAGGTGTTTTATTCATTTAGATCATTTGCTCTGGAAATGTTGTATTCATGAATTAAAACACTAAACCTGTGGGTTGTAAAACAGAACAATGAGCTAAAAAACATCTAAACGTCATGTGCACAGCCTCTTGGGGAAGGCTGTGTTGTTTTGTAGCATTGTTGAATGAGTAACAAATGCAGTGAATGTGTGTTACAGTACAGCAGGTCTTTGTTTCACGTGAGGATCCTCTGAGGAATCTGAAGCAATCGACTGCCCTGTTCAAATCCAACTGTGAAGTACAGCAGCAAAACAAGCAACCAGGACCTGCACCTCTGTGCCCTGCTGTGATGGAAATCACCACAGTGAACAAGTACTCTCAGCTGGAAACAGGAGGCGCCCACGGGACTGTGTGTTGAGCCACCTTGACTAACCTGGTGCCTGCTTGATTGCCCTCTTAGGGAAAAACACGCATCTGGGTTTTTTACTGGGAGGCTTTGTATGGCTGACTACTGTACCATCCATGGGATATATATGCATTTGATTTGCAACATTTTAAGTCCGTGGTGACATACAGAAGGTGCTTGGCAGGAGAAAGATGCAACACGAGTCTCCACACGGTGCCAGGCTTTAAAAAATTACTTATAGGTGGATTTCAAGCTTCTGGAAACGTATGTCTAAAGAATCTAGAAAGGGCAGTTTTATCCTCCGAGGCGCGGCGGTTCTCCTCGTCGCACTATAAACTCCATAGTGTTTTGTGATAAACACAAACAGTATGTACGGATGTAACCAAAATGTTTATTTGACTCCACGTGTTCAAACCTGAATGTGGAGAAAGTAACGCTCTACAGTGAAATTAGTTTCATATTAAAGCAACAGGACCACGTTCTAGGCATCCTGAGCTGCTCTAGGTCAAACATAATGGCTTTATTCATCCTTACTGAGTCATTTACAAGTGCTTTATACCTGTAAAAGGGCTTTAGCTGATCAATTGTTCTTATTGGTGGACTGTAACTCCAACATTTTATGATGCGTTATCGCCAAAGTAATAAACAGTTAACAATGCAATTTACAAATAATTACCATTCTGAGTTTTGGTCCAATCTAGATAACGTGTGGTTTGTCTGCTTTATGTCGCATCGTCTGAGCTCGTCCCATGTTTTGAACGACACACCTCAAGTTCCCTGTGAAACACAGGTCAGTTAAATCCTCAGGCAGTACCAGCGCTGTATGTTTGTGTGATGAAGAGTGTGCTGCTTTGCCTTCAGTCTGGCTGTGATGCTGCATGTGCGTGTCCTGGCCCTGTCCTGTGACCACATGGAGGCTGCCCCCCCTCTGTGCAGCTCCACTAGTCATATTAAGCCGCAGTGGGACTCTTTCATTTGTGAGCGCTGCCACTGCTCGTGTGTGGACCCAGGGTCAGATGTGGCCTTTTAATGCTTTGGAAGTGATTGGACGCGACAGGATGAGGTCACTGTACCGCAGCAGTTAACGGGCCTGGTGACCTACAACACCCTGGATGAGGCGCAGCACATAAGGCATCTGTGCACTGAAACTACAGTATGATACTGGCCTTTACTGTTCTGAGACCAGTGTCTGAATGCTTCTTCCATTTGTGACCCCAGCACTCCAAACATTCTTTCCCATGACTTCTCCCACAAAAGGCTTATGGAAAAAATTCAAGGCATTAATTTTTAGCCAAGCTGGCGACGTGCCGTTGGAAATGACGCACTGTCAGTTGGTCCACACTGAAATGTCTCAACAACTTTTGGGTGAAAGGCCCTGAAACACTGTGTCAGAGGGTGAATCCTCTGTGGGGAGCTCCTGGCTCTGTCCTAGCACTGCCATGAAGCTCCCTTCTGTGGTTTTGGTGAACCATCAGGTCAGACTTTTAATTTGCCCAGAACTTGGATTTATGATTGAATACCTGCAAAACAAGAGACGTTCCCGTCAGCATGTTCACCTTTAGCTTAAATCGCCACCAGTACAGTCACAGAGCTGCTGATGTTGAATTACTAAATGTTTTGCTGGGGTGAAGTCAGTGTTTCACTCCAGTGCTTCCTCTTGCTCAGACTGATTTAACAGTGACACATGCCTCATGGGTATTTCTTATGGCTTTGTGACATTTTGACACTAAACGAGTCCCAAATCAACAACACATCAATAATCACGATTTGCAGCCTGATTCTGATTCAATGTTACTGGAAATGTTAAATCAGCAAAAAGCTTTTTGCACATCTGCACTGTCCTGTAGTGCCATTTGCCTCCGAGCACGTGTTCGTGCAGAAAACAGTCAGGCAGCGTTCGGAGCTGGTGCGTGGCCCCCTACCAGCCAGTGGTGTCTGAACATCTGGGTGGCCAGAGAACGGCACCAGTTCACACACACAATCTACAACATCTGTTTGTGCTTTCAGGCTGAGAGTTTCAGAACAAACACCCATCTTCTGAAGCATGTCAGCTATTTCCAAAAATAGAAACTTCTGCTTTTGTTCACCTTTCGAGCGCGCGCGCGCAGAGAGAGACAGAATGTCTGTTCCAACATCATAACTTGTCTAAAATCATCTTGTCATTTCCAGTTAAAGGACATTTAACTGCAGCGTTCAGCGGTAAACAGGATGAGTCCTTTTATGTGGTGGAAGGTGACTTTATTATTGTAACAGTCAAAGACACCAACGCACATTAATGAGCCAAGATCTGAAATAAACACCTGGAGTTAAACTAATTACTACATTCCTCCCGTTAGCCCAGTTAACAAGATCTGGAGCTCGTAGGTCTGTGGTGGAACATTTGTTCTACAACTGGACGGGGAACTCTGCTTGTTCACCTGCAGACCACTGTCCACCCGTGCACCCGCGCTCTGGGGGCGTTCCTAATGCGCCCGCGCGGCGCAGGGGGGCAGACAGCGGCGCGCTGCAGCGACCTGTCTCTTTAAATTGGTGTCAAAGCCGATTACCGCCGTGGTTCTGTTTCCACCGTCCGTTCCCTGAATCTGTTTTTGTTTTACGGTGCGAGCAGCTTTCTCCCGGTCGTTTCGTGCATCTCACTGCGTCGGTCTTAGTGGCCGGTAACTCTTCGCCAAAGTTTGGAGCATGGAAGCGTCGTGAAGCGCGGCAGGAATCCCATATGAAAGCCCCAGTCTGGCGTGTGTGATGTGCGCTCCACCGCGGACACTCCCAACTTGTTATATCGTTGTAAGCCCGGATTACCTTTCCCTGCTAACGGAGTTTTCACCTGCTTTCTCGTTGGTGTCTGCGTTGAAATAACGGCAGTGGCAGCGCGTGAGGAGACGCGATATGAAGTGACTGGAGTTGGCACCAAATTAAAAACCTACCCAGGTGAACATAAAATGCAGAAGAGTTTACGGTACAACGAAGGCCACGCTCTGTATCTGTCGGTGGTTGCGCGTAAAGAGGGCACCAAGCGCGGCTTCCTGAGCAAGAAGACCGCGGACAACAGTCGCTGGACCGAGAAGTTCTTCGCTCTCCACCAGAACCTGCTTTTCTACTTCGAGAACGACCAGAGCACGAGGCCCTCGGGGATCTACCTGCTGGAGGGATGCGCGTGCGAGCGGGCACCGGCGCCCAAGGTGTCCGCCATCACCAAGGAGCCCATGGAGAAAGAGCAGGTGCGTCCCGCAGCGGTGGAAGAGGTACTCAGATCCTTTACTGCAGTAACACCATACTGGTGGATTACTTCAAAGTCCTACTCAAGTAAAAGTAATATGAACGAAAGTATCCAAAGTAATCTGACATGTGTTCCTTTAAACAAGTGGAAGGAATATAGAAAATGCTGGGATGGCAGCAGGGGCACACGTGTTTTGACCAATCAAGAGAGATTTTACGTTTCCTGTCAGAGGAGATGAAGAAAGTCAGAGGAGAACTCCCATCTCAGAACTGGAGCAGGTCCAGTTTAGCCAGTTTGACTCAATAGTAACATGCACAGTGTTCAGAACAGCTTCAGGTTCATTTTCCTTTCTGCCCTAAACCCAAGGTCCACTTGCTTTGAACAGCACCTGGAGGTCTTCATCACTCATCATCCTCTCAGCCAGTTTCTTGTCATGGGCAGTTTTAATTGAACCACTACTTGGTGCTTAAGGTAAAATTTGGGCTGTGATCATTTTCAAACTGGAGAAACATGGTGGTTAACAAAGGAAACAGAATAATAATGAGGCAGGTCATCAGTCTCCCTTTGTTTTCCAGTCATGTCTCCCCAGCTGAGCGTAGATTTGCAGTCTGGCTTTGCAAGATGTCTCTCTAAACACCCCCTAAGGAGCCTCATGTAAAGAGCCAGACCGTCCTTACGCTACTCCTTCATTAGGCTTTTTGAGCCCCAGCCAACAGCAAAGCAGAGACACAACTCAGCTTTCACTTTGCTGCTGATGCTTTATGCATTGTTGAGTTTGTTTTTACTGGATATATGTAGTTTATACTTTTCTAATTGATTGCACATATCGTAC